AATGCCTTCAATCACGCTGCCTTCTGAACGGTCTGTCCTCTCACCCTGACCTCCCCCCCCATTTACCCACCCCCTGAGGCAGCATTTACATTTCTTAATAACCACTCATTAATATTCATGAGAAGGGGCGGGTAATAATGGCTGAGCACACCGCACTAATTCAATTTCCACCGCCTCGGCGTGTTTACTTAATCACCAAGGGACCCGGGTAACTCAGCACAATTATTTATTTGGAATTAGATCTGGAGGCATCTGGACTGAAAACAGGGAACCAGGAGCAACATGGAAATCGAATTCTCTTTGTCTTTCCCTCCCAGCCACCTCCTCCTGACTGTCTGCCAAGGCTCCAGGCAGCCAGTACGGCGTGGAGGACAAGCGTCCGTGCTGATCAGGCTCTTCCTCAAGGCACTGGCTTGTGCTGAGCTTGAATGCATTCCAGGTGCTCTAGCCGTGGCAGGAATCTCTCATCAACAGTGGTCTAAGAGGTATTGCCAGGTCCAGTAGTGGGCTAGGCTACCATCTCAGCCAAGAGGGTGTCCATGCGTGTCTGGCCAGAGGTGGGGCCTCTGGGGGATACTGGGGGTTTGGCCCAAGCTGGACATGCAACATTGTCAAGCACTTGATCACAGGCCCCTGTAGAAGTGAGAGTTTGTGACATGGGATCTAAATAATGCCTGTTCATCATTCACTCTCAGCTCAACTGTCACCTCCTCCAGGGAGCCTTCCTTGACTCCCCCCCTACCCCCACCAGGCTAAGTTAGGTTATCCTTTTACAACCAGGATGGGCTTGGTCGTAGCACCTAGCCCACTATGGGTGTTCACACAATCATTTCTAATAAGTTTTTTAGGGTCTGTTTCTCCTAGTAGCCTGTTAGCTCCATGGCGGCAAGTCCCATGGCTGTCCTGGTCATCCTTTATACTCAGCATCTAGAATGGCCAGCACAGGGGAGATGCTCTACAAATATTTTTTGGCACCTCATCTGCCGTCTGCCCCTCAGGTCTGTGGGTGGTGGGAGCCACCGGCTGTTATTCCCCTTTGGGCTCCTTCACTGTGTCCAGTTGGCTTTTCAGCTCTTCCATCACCTTCCATTTCCTGGATTAGAGTTCCTATTTTGTTAATATTCAAGTGTTTCCTGCTTAGACGCAGACTCAAATTCTCCCCTACCAGCGCTGGAAGCTCCTGGTGGGAAGGGCACCATCTTGTATCCCCAGGGCCCGGACACAGAGAAGCAATCAAAAGGAGAAGGAATGAGTGACTTTCGTCGAGGAACCTATTTGCAGGGCAAGAGTAGAGATGGAGGTGTAGAGAATGGACTTGTGGACACAGTGGGGAAAGGAGAAGGTGGGACAAGTTGACAAAGTGGCATCAACATATATGCTTCCCTGGTGGCTCAGATGGTAAAGAATCTGCCTGCAATGCAGGAGGACCTGGGTTCAATCCCTGGGTCAGGAAGATCACCTGGGGAAGGAAATGGCAATCCACTCCAGTATTTTTGCCTGGAGAATTCCATGGACAGAGGAGCCTGATGGGCTACAGTTCCTGGGGTCACAAAGAGTCAGACACAGCTGAGTGCCTAACACTTTCACTTTTTTCATGTGTAGAACAGACAGCTAGTGGGAGGCTGCTATATAACACAGGGAGCTCAACTTGGTGCCGTGTGATGACCTAGCCAGGTGGGATGTAGCGGGGTGGAACGGGAGGGAGGCTAAGAGGGAGAGGATATATGTATTCTTATAGCTGATTCATGCTGTTGTACAGCAGAAGCTAACACAACATTATCAAGCAATCAAAAATAAATTTTAAAAAAAAGTAAAAGGCTTCTCTTTATGGGGGGAGAAACAACCCCAATAATAACACTAATCAATTGTCTTGTGAATAGAAAAGGCTTTATAAATAGCTCTAAGCCTGTAAAGTTCTTTGTCAACTATAAAGTTCCTGCCGCCACATCTGGCTGTCCTGTTTCAGAGCAGCTCAGCCTTCCCGCGGAGGTGGCTGCAGACTGGGGAGGCTGAGAGAAGAAAGAAAAGATAATGGATTAGAGATAACGTCTCAACCAAAGCACAAGAGGTGGGGCGGAGCACAGGAACAGCCGATGATTTAATCATCACAGGCTCATTTAGAGAGGCCTTTTCCTCCCTGCCTGTCTCCAAAGCACCTGGACCCCCATGTGCCGTGCCAAGTCCCTTCACTGAAATTTCTCAGAGCGGAGACCGGGTTGGAAGATGGTCAAGACCTGCCAGCTGACCTGCCTGGTGGGGGTTGGGGGGTGGCTCTCTAGGAGTCACCTGGGACCAGCAGGGCAGGTGGAATTTGGGCTTCAGAGAGGAGAAAGGGAATTTTCGAGGTGCAGGGGAGTGACCAGCCTGTCTTAAGACTAGATTCTCTCCCAAAGTAGAGCCTGAGATAAGGACTTAGGGCATGTAATTTCCTTGAGAGGTGAGCATGGCAAGCAGGGGTGAGAGACTGGGGAGACAGGGAAGGAGCTGGTTGCTGCTGTGGATACCTGGGGCTCAGACCCCCGAGGACCCTCTGAGTACCAGGCACAATCATTCACCCCAAGGATGGGGGGCAGGGGCTCTTATCGACCAACTTACATTCCCCCAGGGGTTAAGCATCTCCGCAGGGGGCATGAACCCCCTTGCACCTCTGGACTGTGGCTATGGGTGGGTTGAGCAAGGGCTCAGGGCTCCCAAGAAAGCCTTGGGCGGAAAAATTAAGAGACTGCGTAGGTACTTGTGGGAGGATATTGCCAGTGTGCATGGGTGCTGTTCACCACAGCTGTGGCTGAAATGTGGGATGAGGGGCTCTGACATGGGATACCCACAGCATCTTCCACCCCCTACTGCCACTGATGTTCTCCAGCCTGAGTGCCCAAGCTCCATGGCCTTTTCTCCCTTCTTTCCTCCTTCCTTCCTTTCATCCTCTCTTCCTCCCTTTCTTTTTCCTCTCATTCCTTCCACAAAGACTTCCTCAGTTTTTATACACTAAAAACAGTGCTAGGTGCTGGGAAGAGTGGGTGAAAAAGACAGACATGGCTCCTGACCTGACAGCATGTATTCAGATAGAGAAGACGCTATAAATAAGTGTACGTGCAAATGAACAAGAAGATGCTTTCAGAGAGGAAGTGTTCTGAATGGAAGAAACAAGGAGATGGAGCAGAGAGAAAACCTGGGGAGGCAGAGAGAAGCCGCTTCAGGCAGGATTGCCAGGGAGGAGCCCTCTGGGGAGGTGACACAGAGCAGAGCCCAAATGATAAGTTGGAGTCTCCTACCAACAATGGCTTTTGACTCTGCAGTTCTGAAACTCTGAGGTTTCAGAAAGTGACATGACATGAAGTTTTTTTTGTTGTGAGAACCAATATAGGGTTATTGACTTTTTATTTTAACAAGTAAACACACACACACACACACACACACACAATCTGACTTACAATGATCATTTACTATCACCCTAATTTCATAAGTATAAAGCCACTTTAAACACCCTTAAAGTAGGAAGGCCATGATCTTGGAATAAAGACTGATCTTTAAGTGAAATAAACTTAGTTGTATCAAAAATGCCCTCATTTTGGTCCCTACTCTTGAAAACATCTCTCCATCTCAAGGTCTAACTTGGGTTTTAGGACACACTGTTATTTCCTTTGTATTTCCGCCTCAGGGATTTTAGAAACAGGAGAGAAATGTGAGGATTGCTTTGATCTGCCCATATTCAACTATTTTTCCATCTGTAAAGTCATAGTGGGTAGCTGCTTGAATTCATACCTAAGGTATGGATTAGAAAGGGGGAAGTCTTAGCAATTCATTTTGCAAGCACAGAAAGTATGTGGAAGTCCTCTCTCCCCCCACTACAATCTTCTCTGCATAGTGAACTCCTCTTTTACTCTCAAAACCCTATTCAAATATCCCCTTCCTGGGTTACACTCTGTGATCAGTCATCCAACCTCCTGTTCCCCTTGTAGAAAGTCCTGGCCTGTACTGAGCACATGTCTCCATACATTGTGATGGATGATTCTGGGTGGGGGGAGTCAGTTCAGTGTCCCTTCCAGATAACCTTGCATTTTCCCCAAAATCCTTGCTGTGAATGTGGATAATTCAGAAATATAGGAAACAGAGAATTGTGAACAGAAGAAAAAGGCAAGTGAGGTAACATTTATCATGTGCCGTTCAGATGCTTTGCATGTGTTGTTTCATCTGAAACCCTCACTTTCATAAAGACAGTCCCTCCCACACAACTGCTGTTCCTCATCCCATCCTTACACACTGTTTTTTTTCCATCTATGACACCGCCCCCCCTTTTGATCTCAGTTCCTGTCCCCACCCTGCTCCTGTAGGGTCTGTTTTCTTCTCCTGTGCACTTAAATGCATTTTACTATTATTATTTTTTTAATGTTTTGGCCATACCAAGCAGCATGTGGGATCTTATTTCCCCAACCAGGGATCGAACCCGCATCCCCTGCTGTGGAAGTGTGGAGCCGACCACTGGACCACCAGGGAATTCCCCCTCCCATGCACTTAAAGGAATGTGGTAAATGCTTCCAGAGCGCACCATGCGATTAGGGTCTGCACTCAGAGAAATGCTCAAAGAGACAGCAATGCTCAAATGAAGAGCCTGCCTGGCCCCTTCTAGCCTGTAAATACCGGGATCCTTTAAACCAGGGACTCTTTTGTTCCAGGGATTTCCCTGGTGACTCAGTTGGTAAAGAATCTACCTGCAATGCAGGAGACCTGGGTTAGATCCCTGGGTCAGGAAGATCCCTTGGAGAAGAGAATTCTTGCCTGGAGAATCCTATGGGTGGAGGACCCTGGAGAGCTACAGTCCATGGAGTCTCGAAGAGTCAGGCACGACTGAGTGTCCCAAGACTGTCCATTGGTTGGGACTGTCACTTGTCCCAAGACTGTCTAGAACCATTTCCGGTTCTGTGATGATGGTCCTGGAATGTTGAATCTCCCCTTCCAAGATTCTGGAATACTTAAGATTCTACAAAAAGAGGAGGAAGCTTTTGCTTTAGGACTTGAGCAGTCTCTGCTCCCTTGCCACGGGCCCCCAGGCCGCAGGACCCCAGACAGACCACTTGAGGCCAGGCCCAGCCCAGAGGAGAGCCCTGGCTTGCCTTGTCTTAAGGTCTACCAGCATGTGTGCGGTCTCGTTCATAATTGATCCAGTTGCTTGATGAGTGGGTGGCTGCAGATGCATGCGGGTGGAGCTGCGGGGGTCCCTGGAGAGACCCTCCTCTCCCCTCTGAGGAAGCAGGTGCCTCTGCCAGCCCCCGGCCCCTTCCTACACAATAGCTGCTTAACGCCTGGCAGTCCCCATGCCAGCCTCTGTCGCCCGCACCAACTATTTCCCATTTCTCATTCTCCTGAGCAAGGAGCCAGTTTTCACTCGGCAACCCTTTATCAACAGGCTCCTGGGACTTCTGTGGCAGTCCAGAGGCTAAGACTCCAGGCTCCCAATGCAGGGGACGCTTCTTCAATCCCTGGTCAGGGAACTAGATCACATATGCTGCAACTAAGACTGGGCACAACCAACCAAATAAATAATTTAAAAATATATTCGCTGATTAAAAAAAGAAGATACTCAGTGACGAGTGTTGCTTCACAGATTGGGATTTCCAGAAGTGAGGTATTTATTAGGGATTAACACCTGTGAAAGGAAGAGGAGAGAGCAGGGTTAGATGGAAGTTGATCAGTCAACTGATGCAGGTTCTACAAAGCCTCAGGCAGCCCAGCAGGGAGCTCTGGAATGAGCATCGCCTGGCAGCATGGCTCTGCGTCAGGCCTTAAAACCCTGGCTCACCCAGTGACCAGATGCAGGCTGTCCTGGGAAGGGTGTGACCCCAGGCCAGGTGGCTCGCTGAGGCGGTGGCAGACCTGGAAGGGCTGACAGCTGTTTGCTGCTGTATGCTCCACACTGGGCAGCAAGCCCTTACTTAAAGGGGTGTCTGGGTAGCCTCTCTCTTTGTCCACCACCACTGCCATAATAGGGCTTCCCTGATAGCTCAGTTGGTAAAGAATCCACTTGCAGTGCAGGAGACCCTGGTTCGATTCCTAGGTTGGGAAGATCCCCTGGAGAAGGGACAGGCTACCCACTCCAGTATTCCTGGGCTTCCCTGGTAGCTCAGTTGGTAAAGAATCTGCGTGCAATGCGGGAGACCTGGTTTCGATTCCTGGGTTGGGAAGATCCCTGGAGAAGGAAAAGGCTATCCACTCCACTATGCTGGCCTGGAGAATTCCATGGACTGCATAGTCCATGGGGTCGCAAAGAGTCGGACACAACTGCGTGACTTTCACTTCACTGCCATAATCTAATTGAAACCTCCCCCCACCCCCACCCTCTGCTCTATGCTGCTGCTCCTAAGTCACTCCAGTCGCATCCGACCCTGTGTGACCCCATAGACGGCAGCCCACGAGGCTCCCCCGTCCCTGGGATTCTCAAGGCAAGAACACTGGAGTGGGTTGCCATTTCCTTCTTCAATGTGTGAAAGTGAAAAGTGAAAGTGAAATCGCTTAGTCATGTCCCACTCTCAGCGACCTGATGGACTGCAGCCTACCAGGCTCCTCCATCCATGGGGTTTTCCAGGCAAGAGTACTGGAGTGGGGTGCCATTGCCTTCTCCAGCTCTATGCTACTGCAGGAATTAACTAGCTTATTTTATACATGAGTTCCTAGAGGTTGAGCACCTTGCCCAAAGCAACTTCCAAAAAGAAAGTGAGAGTTATAAGCCAGGTCTGTCCTTGGCCAAAGTTTTATGGTCTCCTTATTGTATCATGGGCTTCCCTGATGGCTCAGATGGTAAAGAATCTACCTGTAATGCAGGAGACCTGGGATCGATCCCTGGGTTGGGAAGATCCCCTGGAGAAGGGTATGGCAACCCACCCAGTATTCTTGCGTGGATAATTCCATGGACAATGGAGATTGGTGGACTATAGTCCGTGGGATCACAGAGTCTGACATGACTGAGTGACTAACACTTTTGCTTATCACATCATAGGGATCTTTTACATTTTTATATTGGGGATCCATTTTTACCCTTTTCTTTTTTTAACTTTAAACTTTTCATTTTGTATTGGGGTATAGTGATTAACAGTGGTGTGGTAGTTTCAGGTGAGTAGTGAAGGGACTCCGCCATACATATACACGCTCCTGTTTTTTTCTTTTTTTTGCCATGCAGTGCAGCTTGTATGACCTCTTCCCCAATCAGGGATGAAACCTGGACTCACAGCAGAAAAAGCACAGAATGTTAACCATTGGACCACCAGGGAATTTCTCTATCCATTTCTTATAGGCACAAACAGTAACTGGATGGGGAACACCAAGGATAATCTTCCCCAAATTTTACCTCCATCAAGTGTCCTTAGCAGCCAGCTTTCTTTTTCCTCCATCTCCCTTTAGGAATCCCCTCCCCACTGTCAGTCCAGAGGTCCAAGTGGGACTCCACCTCCTGCACCAGAATAAAGCAGGTGAGTCAGCCTGAGCCAATCAGTGTATTATGTTCCCCTGGTCAGACCTTTGGAGAAGGCAATGGCAACCCACTCCAGTGTTCTTGCCTGGAGAATCCCAGGGACAGGGAAGCCTGGTGGGCTGCTGTCTATGGGGTCGCACAGAGTCGGACACGACTGAAGCGACTTAGCAGCAGCAGCAGGCCAGGCCATTAGTTCATAGCTGGCATATGACCCAGGGGAAACCAATCAAAGTGATCCTAGGACTCTGACTCTTAGGGGAGCTGCCAGAAAAGTTCTTGTTGCCCTTGAACTTGCAATAGAACTGGAGCTGCAGGTATGTTTCAGTTATTCATTGGTGTGTAACAAACCACCCCAAAACTTGGGAGCAAAGCAACAATGATTTATTATTTCCCAAGATTCTGTAGGTTGACAGGGGTGCTTCTGCTGCACATGATGTCGGCTGGGGTCACTCATGTGGCTGCATTCAGTTGGACTGGACTAGAAAGTCCCAGGACCAATAGAGTTGGAGTAGGGAGGCGGGTTGGGGGTGGGAGGTGGTACACTCTAGGTGCTGACAATAAGGAAAAGCATTTTTTGCAAAAAGTTTAACAATAGTCATTGTTGTTGTTGCTATTTTAGTTTCTAAGTTGTATCTGAGTCGTTTTTGACCCCATGGACTGTAGCCCACCAGGCTCCTCTGTCTATGGGGTTTTCCAGGCAAGAATACTGGAGTGGGTTGCCATTCCCTTCTCCAGGGGAATCATTCTGGACCAGGGATTGAATTCAGGTCTCCTGCATTGGCAGGCAGGTCCTTTACCTCTCAGCCATATAGGGAGCCCCAAAATGATAGTTAACATTGGTTAAAAGTCAGTCTGCTTTTTACCACCCAATGCTGACAATTCTAAACAATGTTTGAGTTAAACACCCCAATTCTAAGGCAGACTGCCACGCCCCCCCCCCCTTTTACAAAGTCTCTCGATTAGGGTCTGGAACCTCTGTGATGACTATTAGTTGGGGAACCTCAGTTCTGCCCTATGTTGCCTTTTTTATCATATGGCAGGTCATCTTCCTGGACCCATCCATGTGGTTTCCCCTCTACATCAAGATATCCCAGTATCCCTTTCAGCATGGCAGCGGGATTCCAAGAGGGAACATTCCAAACATCAAACACAAATGCTCAAGTGCTTCTGAAGCCTCTCCTGCCTCACCTATGCTAACATTCCATTGGTCAAAGCCAGTCAGATGGCCAAGTCCAGTGTTCGCTGTAGGAGGGGATGCACAAGGGCACAAATAATGGCAGATGTGGTTCACCCACGGCCACCACATGGGACTGACTTAGCACCAGAAGAGGGTCAAGCAGAGCCTTGAGCTGCCAGGGTGTAACAGGCAGGGTCCTTGAAGGAGCCAGAGGCATTGGAGCTGTAATTTCAGGAGACTATAATAAAGGAACTGTTGTGTTTAGGGAATTACGATAGTGTTTTGGGAATCCAACACAGGATGGTGAGGCTCCTCTGGGCTAGACAGTGGGGAGCCTTTGGCACCCCTAGTCTGAAGGGCAAGAGCCAGATGTGGTTACTGGAATCCAGGGAGAGTAGCTGTGGTTCCAGGAGGCTTCTGCCTGGCAGGAGCTGCGGCCTTCGGTGGAAGGAGCTTACAGGGAGGGACCTGGGAAAGAGAAACAATCTGCCTCTGTCTCCTTCCTCCTGATTGCTTGCTCTTGCTTCCCACTGGCCAAACCCTACTGGAAGTGAAAGGGAAGGGACCTTGCTGATGTCATCGGCCTCCATAGAATATGATTCTCTCTCCCATATCTCCTCTCCACTCTGTCCTCAGGGCTTACAAGTAGACAAATCTGCAGAGGAGAAAGGGAACCTTTCAAGGTATCACTCTGTCCCATCACATGTCTTTTTTTCTTTCTCCTGCAGATCTCAGCTCAAATGTCACCTCCTCCAGGAAGCCTTCCCTATGTTCCTACCCTTCTCTGTGCTCCCATAACCCTTAGACTGACTCTGCCACAGTTGTGCTGGCACTGTCTGTTGAAATGACTTGTTTTCCACTCTCCCACTATACTGGGCACTCCTCAAGGGCAAGGCCTGTGCTTAATGTCACTCTGTGGCTGCAGCTGTGCCTAACACAGGGTCAGGACGGTAGAAGTATTCATTCCTGTTTGCCAAGTGGATAAATGAATGCATATTCCCCTCCAGTTCTGCTCCACCTCTGGACCCCTACCCCTCAGGGGAGAAATGCTTTCTGAGAGCCCGTGTGGAATAACTCAAGATCACCAATGGCAGGTGGGGGTGGGGGTGGGGGTGGGACACCCACCCTTGAATCCAGCTGTACCTTAGCACAGCCTCTCCTGCCCATGATGCCAAGGCCCTGTCAGAGGCGTGACAAACAGCTTGGCTGATGGCTTATAATGTCAGAGATGATGGAAACAGGGAGGCAACGGCTGAAAGAATGGGTTGGGGACGCTTGTCATAACTTTATTTGTGGGAGGTGAGTTCCTGTCGGCTGGGTGATGGATGGTGCCAGGGCAGGCACAATACGGACCCTGCCACTGCATCTCCCCCTTCTCTCTAAACCAAATGGCTTTGGGGATGAAAAATGACTTTCTTGGGAGATCCAGGGGGAGGGGAACTTCAGGGGAAGGGGGCCTTGTGGTCGGCACCTTGAAATGACTTTTGCTTTTCTTGCTGAGAGTTCCATTTTGACTTGTCCAAACTTATAGTGTCTTTCCTTCCTCCCTTTCTTTGTTCCAAGGAGATTATTGAATAATCCCAGACATATTAGCTGCCTTAGTCCTCAAAACTGCCTAAAAAGGAATGAAGACTATACAGACGAGAGAGCTGAGGCTTAAAGGAAGAAAGTGGTATACCTAAAGTCCTCTGTGAAAGAAGTGGCAGACCTGGGATTCGAAGTTGGTTCTAGTTACTCTAAAACCTGAGCTCTCTCCATAAGGATGTAGTGAAGACCATGTAAGTAGCATGTGCCAAGCTCCTTAGAAGCACAGTAAAGAGAGTAGTTAATCTGATGGGGAAAAAATCAGGGAAGACTGCCCAGCAAAAATATTTGAGTTGATTCTTGAAGGGTGAATAAAATGTTAACTGATAGAGAAAGAGGATATTGGGGGTTGGGAAGAGAAAAGAGAGGCATAGTGTACATTTTTGTTTGTTTACTCAAAAGCAGTCATTGCCCTCTTTCTCCTTTCTAATAGAAACTTGATTTGGGGGGTAATCCATCCTCCTACAAATGGGCATGATCTAAAGTTCAGCTATTCACGAACTTTCCATTTTCCCTGTGGCTGATTGGTTTGGAAACAGGAATGAGAACAATTACAGCCAATAAAGTAAAAGGAATATTTTCTCAAGTACTTCTGGAAAAGATTTTCTTGCTCAAAAGAAATCCCTCTTCTTTTGCAGGATGTGGTCGTGTTTTGTGCATGATATCTGGAGATGTAGCAGCCATCTTGTGACCAGGAAGGTGAACCAACACATTAATGATGACATCATGGGAAGTTGGAAGTGACATCACTGAGCTGCTGAATTAATGACTCCTGCAGCCATTAAACCTTGAAACTTAATCTTTGAGTTGATACATTTTTCTCATTGTTAATCAACTAAATTGGTGGTTCCATTTTTGCAGCCCAAAGCACTCTGACTGATACAAGAGGATAAAAGGTTGCCAAGGCAAGTGGTTGTCTTCACTGCTCGGGCCTGGGAGGGATTAAGGTGCAGGCTTTGCAGTCAGACAGAGCCAAGGCAAGTCCCAGCTAACTGCTTCCTCACTCTGTGACCTTGGACAAGTTGTGACGTTAATGTCTCAGTTAATGCCTGTGAGATTCGGTTCCTGGGGAGGAGAAAACTCATACCATAGGACTTTGACAATAAAATAAAGTAATACACAGAAAGGGCTGCTTTGGACCGTGCAGGGTGTATAATAAGTACTCACTATTTCATACCAGTTCTGGTTGTTGCTATGGTCATCATTTAATTTTTTTTTTTGCCTCCATGGAAGCCTCTACACTCACCCCAAACTTACTCTATGACTAGACTCATCTGATCTCTACTTGCCAAATCCAGTTCCCTTAACGCTGGTGGTTATGTAGATGTCAAGGTCCTGGAATTGCATTCCTGAATCTGGAGGAGGAGAAGGAAAGGTTCAAGGTTGCCCTTCTTACTCCACTCACTCTCCCTGGGCAGCCCCGCTCACTTCCACAGCTCAGCCTCGACAACCCCAGTGTACTTACTATGTCCAAACCCCTAGGTCTGTTCTGAGGACAGACCTAGGACCCCTAGGACCCCATCTGAGCTTCAGGCTTTGAAGCATGATGGAGACACATTGATCACTGTAACAGTGGGCATCAGGATTCTTCCTGAAAACAACTGTTTGGGTTGGGGGAATACTTTGATAAGCTTCCTTGGAGACAGGTGAGGCCCCTTTGGGCATGGATGTGAGCAGGCGCTAAGATGCCAAGTGAGGTGGCTAAAAGGTGATGATATGGTTGTGGGAAACTGTTGGCCAAGAACCAAGGGGAGGAATTTGTAAGCTGGACTACGAAAAGGTTGGAGGAAAAAAATAAAAAGAAGAGGGGAGTGGGGAGAGGGGGAGGGGGAAAGAGAACATGGCAAGGTGTGAGACTAGATTCTGTATTAAAGACAGAGAGAGCCCCTCCCTCCAATGGCATGTGGATGCCCCAAACACCCTGAAAATAGGAGATTTTCTATCTGAGTAGTCTGTAATGGTTAACAGGGCCTGTGCAGTGTTCACATTGCTTTATCCGAAATCTGGCTGTGTGACCCTGGGTTAGTTACCTGACTCCTCTGAGCTTTGGTTCCAGCACATATAAAATGGAAATAGAGTCCTTGTTAGGATTAAATAAATGTTAAGTGCAGTGCTGGCATGTCCTGGGCGTTGAAATAACACCGCTGGCAAACTGAAGTTCAGAGTTATCTGAGGACTTAACCCAAGGTCACAGAGTCAAGCAACAGGGTGGAAAGAAAGTGTTAGTCACTCAGTCGTGTCTGAGACTCTTTGCAGCCCTATGGACTGTAGACCACCAGAATCCTCTGCTCTTGAAATTCTCCTGACAAGAAGACTGGAGTGGGTTACCATTTCCTCCTCTAGGGGATCTTCTCGATCCAGGGATCGAACCCTGGTCTCTTGCATTGCAGGCAGATTCTTTACCGTCTGAGCCGCCAGAGTTGGTGGAGATGCAGTAGGGTGGGCGCAGGCTGCAAAGCCAAGAATACCCGATCCCAGAAGACCCAAGTTTCTCACTGAAGGTGGCTTTACGGAGATAGGACCAAGGCCAGGGCACCAGCTCAGGGCTGGGTTTCTGGCAGCTGACTCCTTGCTCCCAAGTGCTGGCTCTGCCAACTGAGGCTAAGAGTTAACTTTGCTTCTCCGTCTCTCCCACATTCCCTCCTCCTCGCTCTCCTGGACAGTATTTCCCTGGGGCTCCCGTTACCAATTTGCAGAGCAAAGGCACGCACAGGCAGTTCAGGGGTGGCGCGAGCTCAGCAGCACTGGTATTGTTTTTAATTCAATATTTTGTCCCTGTGCGCCAACCACCTTTATTGGATGAGAATACTGTTATTGGATCCTGCCCTGCAGGAGAAATTGCAGACTTCCCCTGACAATGGCAGCTAGGTTGTTCTAGAGTCTGATGAGTCGGGGCAGGGCGAGAAGACAGCAGAGAGTTCCAGAAAATCTGGTGGTTACAAGCTGTTCTGTGACATGCACAAAATTATTAACATATGTATTCTTGACCTTTCCCCTTGCCCTCCCTTCCAGGGAGGACAAAGCCCAGGAGGCAGCCTTCACATCGCCTTCTTCCTTTTCTGGCACATTCAGTGTGTATCATGGCTCTGCTGATTTTTCTTCAACTTTTATCCATGCCCAACACCACCTAAGTCAAACCCCAAGCACCTCCTGCCTGGACAACTGGTCTACCCATCCTCCCCTACAATACTCAAACCCGTTGTCTTTATGATAGACTATCTTATTTGGGATCTCCCCAAAGCCTGAGATAAGAATTCAGATATACAGAGTTTATTTGGGATGTGACCCCAGGAAACACTGGCCAGACCTCTGGGAGCCAGTGAACAACACCATAGCTCAGAGTTACCCCACCTGAGGAGTGAGGGAGCTGGGCATTGACGTACTAAGTTCTATCAGGCTGAGAGCTGCTCTGGAGTGGGAGGGTGGGGTGGACTGGTAATCCTCTGACAACTCTGACCTGCTCCACAGACAGGCAAAGCATGTTCCAGGGGCCAGAGCAAGGCTACTCAGCTGAATTCTTGTATATAGTGTGCCTGTGTGCTCAGCCATTCAGTCGTGTCCAACTCCTTTCGACCCCATGGACTGTATGTAGCCTGCTCAGCTCCCCTCTGCATGGGATTCTTCAGGCAAGAATACTGGAATGGGTTGCCATTCCCTCCTCCAGGGGATTTTCCTGGCCCCGGGATAGAACCCGTGTCTTCTGCGTCTCCTGTATTGGCAGGTAGATTCTTTACCACTGAGCCACCGGGGAGGCCCTTGTAGATAGCACCTTCCCCAACTGGACGTTCCCCAGCTTTTTTAGGTGGTAGAGAAACATCTTGAAATCATTGTTCTTCTTGCAAAATAGCATGAAATGGTGACAAATTAATTTTTTAATGAGTAATAATATAATTTTATGCTAAAATAAAATAATGTCTTGTATAGGGCTCTGCCATAAAAGGTGAAAGCAGGTGCTGAAGTTGGGGGACATGCACTAAGGGAAAATGACCAATGAAGGTAATTAACCCTTCCCTCCATGAATTGTCCTACAACCACCAGTTCTCCACAACTGGATTTTGGAACAGCTGGGTGCAGTTCATGAAAGTGTTCCACAGGACCATAATTTGAAAACCACTAGATGAGCTGACTGGAGTAGGACAGACCAATTAATGGACAAGTTTCTCTTTCTGTATTTGCTAGTTATTTACTTAAAACCAACTAGTGGCCTCCCTGGAGCAAGCCAATAGGACTCTGTGTGTTTTTGTATTAGCTTCATTTTTTATCTCTGTTATATGCTCTTCTCCACATTTTTTCCCTCTTCTTATACCTTCTTTTAATTTAGATTACCTTGCTGTACTTTATGTATCTTCTTGTGCTTAGTCACTCAGTTGTGTTTGACTCTTTGTGACCTCATGGACTGTAGTCTGCCAGGCTCCTCTGTCCATGGGGATTCTCCAGGCAAGAATCCTGGATTGGGTTGCCATGCCCTCCTCCAGATCTTCCCAATGAAGGGATCAAATCCAGGTCTCCCGCATTGCAGGAAGATTCTTTACCATCTGAGCCACCAGATAAGCCCAAGGATATTGGAGTGGGTAGCCTATCTCTTCTCCAGGGGATCTTCCTGACTCAGGATTTGAACCGGGGTGTCCTGCATTGCAGGTAGATTCTTTACCAGCTGAACTACCAGGGAAGCCATGTATCTTCTTAAGTCACTTTAAATCCTTTCCGGAATAAGGTGATGGTATAAACAAAAACACATAAATAGAAAATGTAATAAGCTCCATAAAAACCTATTCCAAAAATAACCAACAGTGGTTATTTATCATGGAGAGAAATAGGATGATTAGAGGTGCATTGGGGGAGGGGAGCATGTGTATCCAAAGAGAATAGAAACTACGTCATTTTACAAAGCTTAAGGTGTGGCATTACAAATAACTAACACATAGCATGGACATAAAAAATGGTTTTATATTATTGCCTTTGTAGATACCTATATATTTTATATATTTATTATTTACTTCTATAATACTTGTTCAGGATAGAAATTGAGAAAATGCAAATAAACAACAACAAAAAAGAAAATTTAAGCCACTCATAGCCCACTCCTCAGAGAGCATCACTACTGACATCACATAGCCTTTGCATCCTCTTAATGTAAGATCCGGTCTTCCCAAGTGGCACTAGTGGTAAAGAACCTGTTTGCCAGTGAAGGAGACATAAGAGACATGGGTTTGATCCCTGGGTTGGGAAGGTCCCCTGGAGGAGAGGATGGCAACCCACGCCAGTATTCTTGCCTGGAGAATCCCATGGAGAGAGGATCCTGGTGGGCTATGGTCCGTAGGGTCGCACAGAATCAGACACAACTGAAGTGACTCAGCACACATGCATGCATGTATGTAAGATTCAGAGAAGGGGGTCCCAGCTGATCTAACAGGACTTTAGATTCCAATAGAATCTGATGGACTAACTAATGCCCCAACCAGGTGATGAGGGTGATGAAGAAGAGGAGCAAGATGGAAAGAAAAGGAGGAAGAGAAGTAAGGAAGGGAGCAATGGGAAAGAAAAGAATCTCTGAGGTTTTGTGGACATCTGAGGGTAGATGGGGAGTTGGGAGAACAGGGTATTGTCTACCACTTGGTCTGACTCAGGGATGGAGCCCAACCCTCTTATAGAGAGATGCTATGGGCAGAGGAAGTGAGATGCCATGTACAAGCAGAACTGCTTTGGTGTCCAAAGGGCAAGTGCCACCTAGACTGAGGAAAGACGCCCACTCCATACACCTCTGCAGGACACACTCCAGCTCTGCTGCTCTGAGGACCCAACCAGGAGCCTGTGACACCTCCACGTCCTGCAGTTTCTGGAGCGCCAGGGAGCAACACCCTGA